ATAGTGGCCGACCGCGCACCGTCATTTTTCTACCACACTCTTTTAGTCTCGAAGCTCAAAAAAAGCCCTAAAAAAGCAAGCGGTCCACCAAGCTGCCGGCCAAAACGCCTTCAATTAATATTTCGTCTATTTCACGGCTCTAGGGGCTTTTGGGCCAAAACGCCTTCAATTAATATTTCGTCTATTTCACGGCTCTAGGGGCTTTTGTGGTTTACCGACTATCTCCTTTTTCACCAGGAGTTTTGTTGCCGCCCACCCCCTTCCTTTTTTGCAGCCAGACCCATAGCCGCGAACGCCCCAAATCCATGGCCCGCGCGGTGGGGCCATCCTGTGTCTACGGCCTGGCCCTCGTTTTCGCGTTTTTCGCTTAGAGCCACCTCGGCTCCAACACGCCGCGCCTCGAACACACGCAACACAACTTTCTGGACCCACAAGTCTCAGACCATCCCCCCCGGAAAAGGACTCATCAGCGCAACGCCTCGCACGCAACTCAGAATTGCACGCAACAGCCGCCAGACACCTTTTTTCTTAGTTTCCATACGACATTGTGCAGTCGCGCCCCGCCCCAGACCCGAGGCAAATCTCCCCCATCTCTTGGTCAACGGCCCGCCTACCCAATGGACCAATTGCCACACCCGCCGTTCCGGTCCGCATCGCTGGCGCTGACCCCCACAGTGAGCCTGTCGCTGACCAGCATTTCGCGCGTGGCGCTGGGCCCGATTATGCTCAACATGTCGATGAACAAGACGTCTCTGGCCGAGGACCACATGTTCTATAAGTCGCGCGTGTTGATTGAGCGGCTCTCGACAATCCAGGGTATGCCACCGTATATTATGTTGGCGCACGCGGCGGCCGAGCGCTGTGCTGAACAGCAGGCGCTTGCGTTCTCACAGCAGCTCCAGCAGAGCGATGGCTCGCCCACAGCATTTCGCTCGTCCGTCGGCTCCGGTGGCTTCTCCATGTACCTGGACACCCTGGCACTGTCATATCCAAATACAGGCGCGCTGCTGTCCAACAATCTCTTCACGTTCACTGCGGGCGTTCTTCCCGCAAACTTGAGCCTGGATCCCGCCACGCAGCTCTGGAAACTCTTCCAACAGGGTGCACCGCTCTGTTTAATATTCAACGCCATAGACCCGGCACATTCAATTCCCGTGCAAGCGGGAGACGATTTACGCATGTGCAAGAAAGCCGTTTACGACTTTGTCGTGGCGGTCAAGACCCACTTGGCAGTGGATGACGACGCCATGTTCACCATTTCTAACGTCTTTTCGGACAACACTCACGATTTACTCAAAATCATTGACTTTGTTTCTGCTTTGCTAGATCAGCACAAAGTGCCTGGTCCAGACGCCTTTCCTGAGAACGTTTCCCAACAGCTCACAGAACTCAAGGTCTCCGATGACCGCTCTAAGGTGTTTAAAGAATTGATTCAAACTGAACGCAAGTACATTCTGGACTTAGAGCTACTATTACAGTACCGCAACGAGCTTCAGGCAGCTGACGTCTTGTCATCCGAGCAGCTTCATGTGCTCTTTCCCAACCTCAGTGATGTCATCGACTTCCACAGACGTTTTCTCTGCGGGTTTGAATGCAATATAGATGTTCCTACGAAGTACCAGCGTATTGGCTCTGTCTTCCTTCATGCCTCCAATGGTCCGTTTAGGGCGTATGAGCCCTGGACGATTGGTCAGGTCGGCGCTATCGACCTAATCAATCGTGAGGCGAGTAATCTCAAAAAGGCTTCTACATTGATTGACCCAGGCTTTGAGTTACAATCATACATCATTAAGCCCATTCAACGTCTATGCAAATATCCGCTTTTGCTAAAGGAGTTAATTAAGGCCTTCTCCGATCCCTCAGATGCTGCATATTACAATGAGCTTCTTTTGGCTCAGACCGCCATGAAAGACGTGGCTAATCAAGTGAATGAAGCCCAAAGAAGGTCCGAGAATGTTGGGTTATTACAAAACCTTATTGAGAGAGTCAAAGATTGGAGAGGCTTTAACTTTCGAGAACAAGGTGACCTCTTGTACCATAGTGTCGTGAGCATCAAAGATGGCGAAAGTGAAAAGGATTACGTGGCATATCTTTTTGAAAGGATCATTTTTTTCTTCATCGAGACCAACCCCGCCGATAAGCAAAAGGATAAAAAGAAGAGAGATTTATTGACATCCAGAAAAAAATCCGGCAGCAATGTGTCTGGGTCTACAGCCAATCTTTTAGAGTCTTTGAATGGTGTGAGAGAAAATACAACACTCGAGTTGAAAGGAAGAGTTTACATCTCTGAGATTTACAACATTTCCTCTGCAAACTTGAACGGCTACACTTTGGTGATATCGTGGTCAGGCAAGAAGGAAAGCGGTTCTTTTGTATTGAGGTACCGGACTGAGGAACCAAGGAACCAATGGGAAAATTGCTTAAGACATTTAAAAACCAATGAGATGAACAACCAGTTGCAGCGCAAGCTAAGAGACTCTCGAGGATCGCTTGGTACAAACTACTCTTTTGACACAAATTCTCAAAGTCATTTCAATGGACAATATCCACAACACGCGGAATCACCTTCCAGCAGAGGGCATGATCATGAACAGAGGCATATTTCATCATCATCTACCTTCAGTATGATGAGAATGAGCAAGAATAGCGCGGGTTCTAGCACGGGGCCTAGCCATGGCGACTCAACGGCAGCAACATCTTTGAGCCCTCTGATCGCTATCAAAATTGTGTATCAAAAGAGTGAGATTTCCGAGCCATTGCAAGTTACACAAAATATGTCGTTTCGTGAGCTACATCAAAAAGTCGCCTCGTACGTCTCATCGAGTCCGGGTGTTGTCGATGATGTAATCATCAACAAGCTTAGGTACAAAGACGAGGAAGGAGACTTTGTTGTGATGAGCTCAAGTGACGACTGGCAGCTAGCACTTGACATGGTGGAAGAGCTCGTAGAAGAAAATGGTTCTGAGCGCACGTTGAGTATTTGGGTGTCGTGAGGATGGTGAGTAAGACGGGTGCTACGAAGTGTGAAGTGAGAAAAGGCTGGCAGATGGGCGTGATGATATGGCTAACGCATATTAAAATGCTTTTGCATAAATAGTGAGGGGCACAAAGTCAGGTTTGACGTTGTCTGAGCAGCCTGGGTCAAAGTGACAGAAATTGTGCGTTGTGCTAATCGAGAAAGTTCGTTGCAGACGTGGCACGTTTACTTGCGGTGACCGCGCGCTGTGTTATTTTCTCACAGCTGACTGTCTTATCATCATCGCGATTTTTATTGGCGCACCAGCTCACTTTTTTTCAGCTGACTCGGACGAGCGCCATCTGATACAAAGGGCTCAAGTAGCAATTACATCGGCAAATACCAACCTCAATTTCGAAAGAAGCCGTATTCGATATTCGGACTCCAGAATTCGATAGTGTCTGTGACCTTCTACTTCTCCGAAACCGTTCGCATTACAACGTGACTCACAGTTCATTCGTGCCAAACGAGCAATAATCAAGAACCTGAACAAAGAACGAGTTCCGTGATCCTTTGGACTACTCAAGTTCAAATACTATAAGAAGGCCTTGTACAGAAACAAAACAAAAGAAAAAAAGACGGGAGACCTGTGATGTCGATGATTTCTCGAGCTCGCAGTGTCTGCAGACCAGTTGGTCAGAAATCCATTTCCAGCTACCAAAGTCGTACTTTGGCAGGCCGGCTACATATATCGGCATCTAGTGAATATGTGAGCACGTTCACTGAACAATCCAGACTTTTTGAAAAACCCTTTGCAGGATCAGCCTCGATTTCGTCTAGATCGTTTTCTACGATCTGTCAGCTCAGGAAAGAGATCCCTTTCAATAATCTTTCGGAAGAGGATCAGGCAACTCTTACCGAGGAGCGAGCCACAGACAATGTCGATGTGTGTATCGTGGGTGGAGGTCCAGCTGGGCTCGCCACGGCAATCAAGTTGAAGCAGTTGGATAACGAGGAAGGCAGCGGCGACTTGCGCGTCGTTTTATTAGAGAAGGCGGCTGATTTCGGTGCACACATGGTGAGTGGTGCAGTGATTGAGCCACGTGCTCTCCGGGAACTTTTTCCTGAGCTGGAGCACTATGACGAGTCCGGAAATGGCATCCCATTGCCTTCCGATATCGTCACATTGGCACTGCATGACGAGATCAAGTTCTTGACGGAAAGTTTTGCCTTTGGCTTGCCGGAGCCACCCCAGATGAAGAACGAGGGGAAAAACTACATCGTGTCCTTGAACCAAACGGTTCAGTACCTCGCGGAACGGGCCGAAGAATTGGGCGTGGAGATGTACCCTGGCATTTCGGTGAGCGAACTCATTTTTGGCGAGAACGGCGCAGTAAAAGGGGTGGCCACTAAGGACATGGGTGTTGGCCGAAACGGCGCTCCCAAACTGTCGTTCGAAAGAGGCATGGAGTTTCATGCGAGACAGACGGTGTTGGCGGAGGGATGCCACGGGTCGCTTTCAAAGAAAGCCATTGCCAAGTTTGATTTGCGTGCCAACTCGGATCCTCAGACCTACGGGTTGGGCATCAAGGAAGTGTGGCGCGTGCGCGAGGAGAACTTCCAGAGCGGATTTGTGGGCCATTCTTTGGGCTTCCCGCTTTCTTTGGATGTCTATGGTGGAGGATTCATGTACCACTTTGGCGATGGGCTCGTTGCCGTGGGATTGGTCGTGGGGCTCGACTACGCCAACCCATACGTGTCACCGTACCAGGAATTCCAGAAGATGAAAACACATCCGTACTACGCCAGCGTGTTGGAGGGAGGCGAATGCGTTTCATATGCTGCTCGGGCGTTGAATGAAGGCGGCTACCAGTCGATTCCGAAATTGCACTTCCCAGGTGGTCTTTTGGTCGGATGCTCCGCCGGGTTCATCAACCTCCCCAAGATCAAAGGCACGCACACGGCGATGAAGTCTGGAATTGTGGCTGCCGAGTCGATTTTCGGCCACTTGAGAGAGTTGGAGGTTGTGGATGAGGAAACCGACATGGAGGCCCAAGTCTTCGACATGAAGGACTACGAGGAAAGCTTCAAGCAGTCGTGGGCGTACGAGGAGCTCTATGAGGTGAGAAATATCCGGCCTGCGTTCAACGCTTTGCCCGGCCGTCTCGGCTTTTTTAGCGGAATGGCCCAGTCGGGCCTCACCACCATGATCGCCCAGGGCAAAGAAGGCTGGACGCTTTCCACAAGCCACACGGATGCGGAAGCAACGCAGGACGCGTCCAATTTCCAGCCCATCTCGTATCCAAAGCCCGACGGCAAGCTCACGTTTGATATCCTCACCTCCGTGTCAAGAACCGCCACATACCACCAGGAGGACGAGCCTTGCCACTTGAGAATTCCTGACCAGGACCACCAGAAACACGCGGCGATCTCGTGGCCCAAGTACAAGGGTGTCGAGCTGCGGTTCTGCCCAGCAGGCGTCTACGAGTACATCGAGGACGACAGCGAGCCTTTGGGCGTGAAGTTCAACATCAACAGCCAGAACTGCATCCACTGTAAGACGTGTGACATCAAGGTGCCCACTCAGGACATTAACTGGGAGGTTCCCGAGGGTGGCGATGGGCCCAAGTATTACATGAGCTGAGTGCACTGAGTACGTTCCTGCAACGAGGACCAAGTTGGGAGAGACGCGGGGTTTGAGCTTCTGGACGAGGCCCGAGACATGAACACATATATACGCACTGCGGCTGGAGGCTGCTCTTGCTGCCATAGTAAGACAGTTTATAGAATATTTGAGGGTGGAGTGTCTGATCTGTGTTGTTTCCCGTATCTTGAGTCACTCTCTAGTCGGTCTTTGAGAACCAGTGGGCAGAATGCGACGTTCCTAGCAAATTGGTGGTAGACTCAATCGCCTGATGTCTCTTGTCTTTCACCATTTCAATGCAAACGACGCTGGTAGTGAGGACGTGTATACCCACTCAGTACTTTTGGAATAGATTCTATGTCGAATGTCAGAGAGACGGCTAGCTCACCACGTCATCCGCCGCGTGACATCGGAAGACACTGAGGGAATACTACATGGTTTTGCTTTGCTGATGGATGAGAGGGAAGACACTGAAGGGAAACTACATCTCTTGCTTTGCTAATAGATGAGAGGTCCTGGCCCCAAGAATAAAATTAACTTTTTACGTAGCGTTTGATGTTGGTGAATATTTCATGATGTGCGTGAACAGCAACCTGGCCTTTCAGGCAAAGAGCTTGTCCAAGTCAGATAAACTGACATCCTCTGGCGCCCCGATATCCTGCGTCAAAAAACCGGAACGCACGACGTGGGCCCAATTCGATTTGGATTTGGGCGAGCAGTTTGCCGAGCTGGCGGAGTCGGACCGTGCGCCAACGCTGCCGGCCTTCTGCGTGGAACCATGCCCCAAAGAGCCCGACGTGGCTGCAGCAATAGCCTTTAGCGCAGCAGCATGCAACGCAGCGGCCGCAGCAGCCGCATGTGGGTTGTGGGAACAGGGAGTGCGCGGTACGCGGGGTGCAGCGGCTGCAGCCGTGACAAACTTGGCCTTTTTGTTGATGGTAAGATGCGACATGGACTTGGACCGCTTGCCTGAGCGCCTGGTGACATCCAACGAGAAGTCAGCCATGTCGTCGTCGGAATCGTTGAAAACCTCCAAGTCGTCAAAGTCAAAATCGGAGTCGTTGATGAATTTCTTGGCGGTACTCGTGGCACTGGGAGGAGCCTCCGGGGCTGGCGACGCTTCGACGTCCAAGTCTCTAGCAGCCGCGTCTGCATCTGTGGGCTCGTCGGCATGCAGCTGCGCCATGTTGGCAGCCACGGGCGCAGACGAGTACGGCACAAACAAGTTGCTGGAGTTGGTGTTTTCCGAGAACGCGTGGCGAGTCACGCCCAAGTCAAACATGGTCTGGCGCCGTGGCTTCAGAAGTGCTGAGTGCTTGACAGCTTCGAACGAGTCTGCAGCAAACGCAGACCCCATGCCCGGCACGAACTTCTGCGCCGCTGGCAGCGGCTTCTGCGCCTCCACGGCATGTTTCACATGCATGTGAAAGTCCTTGGCCAAAAGACCGCGGTACACGTACACCATGCGCTTTGGCGACGCGTCTGCCCACTCGCGGGAAAGAGCGTACTTCAAATTGGAGTCGCCTTTTTCCACGCGCTTAACGTATGCGTTCAACTTGGCACTGACCAAGTTCAGGGTTTTGCTGGACAACTGCGCCATTTCCGGATGCCGCTCGACTAGCACGTCGCAGATTTGCTTGACAGTCATGCCGCTGCCCTCCATGTCCTTCTCGTATAAGATCAAAAAGATGGCATACAACACGTCGTCCTCGAGCGACGCGTCGCCTTGCTGCGCGGGCTTGGGCTTCTCGCCCGTCACGGGGATAGTGGTTGAGATTCCTGTGGCAATGGGCACGCGTGCAGCCTGTTTTTGCTTTTTGAGCATGCTGCTGGCAAGCCCCGATTTCTCGGCTACGCCAAGCAGCAGCGTGTCGTGCGTCCCTGCGGGTGGCGTCGAGTCGCGCGAGCTGGCGCACGAGGCGCCGTTCTTCACGCCAAGCAGCCCGGAGTTCATAAGCGAGTCCGGCGAGATGCTGCGCAGGGTGGGCGACATTTCCGTGGGGCTCAAGCTGGCCTCGGGGCTGCACGCAGTGCTGTCGTTTCCGGTGGCTTCGTTTTCTGGAAATGGCTCTCGAATTCCGGAAAGGCTGCGTCTCATCACGCCTCGGTGTGGAGGGGCCAAGCCGTCGGAATTGAACGCTGGCGTCGAATGCGAGGAAGCCTCCGGCCCAAGCGGGCGTCTATCTGCCATTGCCATGTGAATGAGGTTTTTGGGGGGTTGTCGATTCGATCACTGGCCACGAGTGTGCATATATCAGTGCAATTGGCTGAGGCGGAAGGTCAATGTAGGCGCTCTGTGTAGATGAACAGAGACAGGCTGGAGAGTCTGCTTGGTTTTTGGGCGGAACTTGCGAATTGAAAACGGGGGATTTGAGAAGCCGCGTGATTCGAATTGCGTAAGAGGCCTGAGGTTCCTGTTAACGAGTTAGGGAGACAGCCTTGGTGTCTGGTTTAGTGAGATGGCCTAGGTATCAGGTTCAGTGAGATGGCCCTGGGTGTGCTTGGTCCGCTCGTTGGATGAATATGGCTCGGGACAGCTATACTGAAATGCTCCCGAATATGCAGCCAGCAATGAGAATATCTGGGGTTAAAGTCTTGAGACTCGGCGGGACCGTCAAGGTAAAACTGCTAGAAGTATTAATATTTGGGCGGGGGACATGCGGCTACCAGGCACGGAAAAACCGGCAGGTCAGCCGTTCGCTCCGATAGTATAACATACGAGTAACAAGCACAAAGATCGGTGTCCTGGAAAAAAAGCTCAGGTTCCGGATGAATTGAAGATGTGTTCAGAAGATGCACCTGGAGCGAAGCGAAGGGCTAATATAGAACGGGCCGGAGCGAGCGTGGGGACAAGAGAACAAAATACCACAAAGGAAACCACGTGACGCGAATCAGGGGAGTCGGGACGTGAGATGCCAGTGGCGCAGATGCCTTGTTCTGGGAAAACGAACGAGGTTAGTGGAGTAGACTCGAAAGCGGTGACGGGTTTGCTTGTCTCCTATTACTTAATTGTTTTTTTTTTTCAATTATAGAGTGCATCAGCCCTAGCTGGATGCGCGCGCGCCTGCACACAGCGGGCCGTGCCCTGATCTCGTGCTGCGATAAGTTTGCACCCGCGATAAGGGCTTCTTCCCCAATGCATTTGACTACGGCTGTGGAAATATCCAGGCCCCGCGCAGCGGGAAATCGATCGTACAGATAGCCCGACAGACGGGGCCACACGAGCATATTTTCCGGGGCGCCATGTGATATTTGCGAGGTTGGGGGCCAGTCTGGGCGGCACGAGGAAGCCGAGGGGAAGAGGACCCAGGCACGTGACGGCGGGCGGCTTTAAGGCGAAACGTCGTTTTGGTTCTGAAAACCGGCCGTGGGCCAGGGCCGGAAGCGCCCCGCAACAGGCCCCGTAAGTGGCCCGCCGCAAAAACCTCGGATCTCGCGGCTGGCTGATATCCGGCGCGCTGGCGGGTGCCGCCGATCTTCCAGAAACATGCATCCTGATTGTGACTGCTTCTTGCTATCCGGCCTATCAGCGACCGGCGCAGTGCACCACGTGCCCGTGCGCGCGCCGGCCGGATGGAATGATACACGTGATCACGTGACTCGTCACCCTGGCCGGCACGTGACACGTGTGACCGCGTTCCCGGCTTCCCCCCCGCACGTGACTGCTGTGCACGCGCGGCGCGGCGCGGCCCGCCATGCACCCCCTGCACATGGCCTGCCGACCCCGCGCATGGAAGTATGCGCCTGGCGGGCACATCTGCGCCGAGCGACATCTGCGTCCAGCCTCCAGATGCTCCCCCATGCATCAGCGTAATATTGCCAAGCGAGACCAAATCGCATCCGTTTCCCAGATTGTGGCTCCAGCGACGACAATGCAAATGTCAAGGTGCGTTGTCTCGCGAGCACCGCGGCACGTGCCATCGGTCTTTTCAGGGTCCCCCGTGCATGCAGAACCAGGGCTCAGAGCGCCGCTTCCCGGGTCATGCTGAGGGCCATCTGGGTGGTCTCGAAGTCGGCCGCCCAGTAGTCGTCGTCGTACGGATTCTCGCCTTCGCGGCTCGGCGGCATGAACCACCAGTTGAGCGCGACATGTGCGGCGCCGGCCTCGCTGGCAAAACTGGTCACCTCGTGGAACCATCCCGTCGGAACATAGAGCATTTCGCCCGGCTCGAGCCATACCTCCAACTTGCCGAGATGGCGGAAGCCCGGGAACTCACGGTCCGCATACTCCTGTAGCGCCCGGCGCTCGGCCGCATCCGGCACCTCGTCTAGGTGGGCAAGAATCGGCGGCACACGCGAGAAACTAGGCGGGTCAAGGCGGGTTTCCGCGTTTGCCGCACACGTGGGTTCGTTTTCAATCATCGCAGTCAACTGGGCAGACGTGTGCCCGCACGTGATGTTGTTTTCCAACGCCCAGCGCGCCCACTCGGCTTGGATGGCGCCGTCTTCCCGCATCGGGCGCCAGAAACGGGCGTTTTCGTTGACGTGGTAGTCGATGAGCCCGTTGCCGTAGATCCGGTGGATATCGCCCACCGTGTAGAGCTTGGCCGCGTCGTTCGGCAGGTATAGAGTGAACCGCTTGCGGCCCTGGACAAGGACATACAAGTTATCGGCGTGGTCATGGTGGAGTCCGGACGAATTCCCCCTTGGAAGATACCGTCCCAAGCTTTCTGCGCTAGGGTTCAATAGGTCTGGTTTGGCGGTCCCGGTGGCAGCGGCTCCCATCCAGAGATTGATCTGTTGAGGGATGAGGTTCTGGAAGGGCGCCGGCGCGATGGGAAAGGACTCGTCATGCACAAGGTTGGTGAGCGGCGGCTGGAAAAGCGACCGCACGCGGAAATCGGCGTCCTCCGCGTCCATGTCGTCGGTGTTTGGATCTGACTCGGCTCCGCTATCCGAGCTGGCGCCTGCGTCGAAATCGTCGTGGAGGTTAGACATGTCTATAGAGTCGTCGTCTGAAGAGGCGCCTGCATCTGGAGGATGACCAGAAACATGGCCAGAAACATGGAACTGGTGATCTCTGTCCACTTCTGTATTGTGTTGCTGCACATCTTCGGAGATAGAACCCTCATCGCTATCTCCGCCGTCTTCTTCAGAGACACTCCCTTGGGCTGAATGTTGCAGGAGGTCTGAGTTAGAAGCAGCGCCATCGCCCAATTGGGCAAAGCTGCTGTCTTCTTCCTCGTCATACTGAGTCGTCAAGTAGTACGAGTCGTCGCCCAGCCGGAGTTTATGTACAATGTCGCGCAACTGAAGATGCTCCCGGGTCCTTCCCAGCCCAAACCCATACTTGACTTTCCGCTCCACCTGCAAGGGGAGCTCGTACTGTAATGTGTCTAGAATGGACTCGAGGCGAAACTTCCCGATCGAGATGGGCGCGCCGCAAGTCAATTTGACTGGTTTTCTTGCGTCAATGAACTGCAGCCTGAATGACCCAACGTCGCTCACTGACAAAACGGTGTCTGCGTCATTCACAGTGTACCCGCGATATTCGTTGTTTGATCTCTGGCTCTTGGAACCCGGGCTGATTTCTTCGGCACTTCTTTTCATTGGAGTTGAGTGCTACTCTAAATACCGTGTGTGAGCCCGCCTCATCTCGTGTAGGCGGTGCGCGCGCGGATGCATACGCCGTCCTGAAAGGGAATGTCGTTTGAGGATGTTTCATAATAAAAAACCCACTTTATCAAGGTTTGATTTTGAGAGATTCACCGTTTTCGGTAACGCAGCAGCCTCTGCGATGAGCTGGTGACATATGTGTGCTTGTCTTGGCATGTAGCTGATTCGGCGGACACTGCAAAAAGCTGGTACTCTTCGTCGAAACTGAAAACTTCCATTTCTGTAGTTTTTGTGGCTCTCGTAAGATAAGCCAATCTTTGACATGAAAACCACCTCCAAAAAATTCCACCCTTAGGTCGAGGTTTTATAAGCAAGCAGCATCCATAGTGGAGCAGAAGTTTAGTTCGGGTAGATGGATTTGTTGGTTTTTCTATATGCTAATGCAGGCTTTATAAAATATCGATTCCCAAGACTGGTGGAAGGCGACTGCTTGACGACCGTAAGAGATGTTTTACTGTTCTCCAGCGTTCCTTGACACAGTCAGCCTGATGATGCTACACGCCTCATCTCTTATTGAATAAAAAACATGTCACCGTTGCTCACACTCTTGGAGCGCTTCACTTGGTATGTATCGTTCTCGTGACTCCTTTTTTGTCGACGATGGAAGTAATCGTCCAGTTCATCAAGCAGTACGCTGGGCAGAGGGAGAGTCTTTATGAAAGCGGCGGCAGGCTTCTCTGATACGCTGTATGACTTAACAACCAGTGGCCGCTCGTACTCGGGATTCTTTGGGCTGATGCTCTGCAGCACCGGTGTCACAGGATACTTTGGAGTAGTCAGGCCTCCGGACGCCACAGGTGTGCATGTGACTTCGGATCTTGGAGAGTACTTCAAGACATGCCGCGTGGCAGTGGCATCCCTCTGCGCCAAGTGCTTCCAGGTGAAGCTGACGACCAACTTCATAAGATGCAAAAAGCGCAGAGATTCGTTGAAGTACTGGGCCTTCAAGGAAGGAGGAGGACTCTTCAACACTTTCGTGAGCAAAGAGAATGCCTGATCAAACTCGGCCATGGTGATCACAGGATCCAACGTGGAGATAAATTCCACAATATCATTTATGTGATTGAATTTGCAAACGTCGAGAATCAAGCATGCCAAGACGACAGAGATCATGGCGATCTTAGGCAGTGTGTAGTTGAAATAAATGTTCGGGTAGAACTGGATGAGTTCACAAATGTAGATGGCAATGACCTTGATATCGTTGCAAGTCTTGTGAGGGCTTTTAGAGCCAGCTAAAAACCTCGACTTTGCCAACGAGTGAATATACACATCGATGAAGGAATCGAATGTCGGAGCATCGACAAGCCAGCCAAACGATTTGAGCACATGGTTTTCCATTTCCAAAAACAACTTCTTGTCGTAACAATGACAACAGTACTTGCACAAGTCATTGAGCAGCGGAATACGGAATTTGGAATCCAAGTTCTTGCATGCAATCCACAAAGCTGTGAGTCCCAAAAGCTGATAGTGTTGTTTCTTGACAATTCTGACTGAGCAATATCTATCAATGATGTTAACCGTCAACGGAAACGTCGATTTCGATAAGCTCAATTTGTTGATGACATCCATAAGAAAGTCAAGAAGAATAGGCCTCATCCTCAAGTTGATCTCAGGCTGTTGTTGAATGAGCTGGAGATTGGGCTTTGTCTTTGTGTCCAAATGGAGCAAATGCGCATAAATTTCCAATTTGTATTCATCCACCTGGATTTTGTGAGCGTTGTACTCAGCCAATTTGAGGTTGATGTTCGATGCTTTTAATGATGCTTGTGAAACACGAACATGATGCAAGATATCCGGAGAGCAGTTCATACTTGCAAGTTTTGAGTAATGCGATGGTCAATGATGCTGCTTTAGTAGAGTCTCAGGATGGACATATGTTATCAAAGCCTTTGTGTTTGGTGAATGAACAAGTTCGTCGACTATAGACTATCAATTGGTAATGAATGAGGTACTAAGACTAGGTTTCTTCTTTCCAGGCAAGATGGATAGATCAATTCTTTTTCAACAAAGCAACAAAGGTTAGACCGCGTACAGGCTTTGATGACAGAAGTGAAGCGAGTGAAGCCTTATGCAATTTTGGACAAATCCTGGAGCAAATCAAAGGTTGTAAGTATCTCGAGAGATGTGACGAAGTCGGACAGACGAAAGTGAAGGGTGAAAAAAAGTGTGGAAAGAAAAGGAGAATATAAAGGAAGCAACAAAAGTTCAATTCCAGGAAAGGATGAAAAGAAAAATGCTGCCTTCGAAAAAGAAAAACGTGGACGCCCGGCTTTTTTGATACAGTCTACGGCAAATTCCAGTATATATATGATCGTTGACCTCTAAATTTCTCGTAGCTCCAAACTGTATGCTGCATAGTGTGTGCAGATGCAACGCAATTAACAACGCACTTCGCATAAAGCAGGCAGAAGGAGGTGGTTGCAGCTTGGATATCCCCGCGACCACCTTTCCGAGGGCATTTCTTGTCCGGTGCGACATTTTTTTCGTTGATAGGCCTGAATTACATTCCAATGTGCAAGATGATCGGCGAAGCGAAATTGGATTTTAACATTGTACATGTATTTAAGGTAATCACAGAATCAGATTGCCTTGGTCAATGCCGGGAAAGCTCCAGTACCTACTAATCCGTCCTTACGTAACCCGTACTTGACTGCTACAACATCTCATTGGGTATCAGGTGGTACCGAGCGACAATTAGCTCTCCTCTCAAAAGATCTGCTTAAAGAGGAAACTATTGTGAGAGGCTTGAGCCTTGAGGACTGCGCGCACCATGACCAAACGGGTAAAATTTACAAAGTGCTGAGCATGTTGACGCCAAAAAAAAAAAAAAAATAAGCAACCAACAACGAGCGAGATTCTCCGGGCAACAAAGCACGACGAACGAGTACCAAAACAATAAGAATGTAGAACAACTCAGCCATGGGAATAGAAGAAATATTTAGAACCGCCAAGGGGTACGGCCTATTGTTTTGTGAATTGAGGATGGCCAAACATTCTTCTCATAGCGGGCTAAAACCCCTATCAACAAGGTATGGCGCCGTCCCTGTGTCTGGCCAAATTTTGGCTTTTCAGGCGCCGAAATTAATTGGCCGAGCAGATAAGGACTATGTGTTGTCGCCGAGGAATTTTCCTCAGTTGTTTGCCCCAGCCCCTCTAACCAGGCGACATATCGCCATGCTGCCTGCGGTATGTCGCGTACAATTGCTGCGACACTATATGCCGTCCTCACCTTGCTCATGTCGCGGCATGGGCGACATTTCAAAATCCAAAAAAACCTAAAAGGTATCTCTGTCTAAGCTGCAAGATATTGAGCCAGAACAGCCTGAAGCTTAATCTACTCAGACCCAGGTCGCTTGATTTTTCAATTTTGCACTTTGAATACTCAAACACGCCCTTTTTTTATTTCGTGGATCGTGAATATTGAGTGTCTCGATGGAGGAACTACTCGCTCGTCATCGCAAAGAGCAAAAAGACTTAATCGCTCAAATCACATCGTTGAAGAAGCAAGCTCTGAAAAAGACTCGCAAATCGGTGAACACAAAATGTGCCGACTTGCAGAGCAGTCTACAAGCTAGGCACGCCAAGGAAATTGCAGATCTTTCCAGTGACTCGTCCATATCTACAGATTCCTTCACACCCGAGCAATTACTAGCCGCAATGAATCTCGGTTCATCAGCGACACTGGAACAAGCCATTGAAAAGACCGCACACCAGGAATCTTCCTCGCAATCTGTCAATAACACTCCTGATGCAACCCCCAGTTTACTGGTAGCGCCGGGAGCTCAGCCGGGAAAAAAGAGAAACCGCGCCAGAGAAAGACTAGCGAAAAGACAGGCGCAGATCGATGCCATGACAGCAGAGGCGCAAGCAGAAGCCGCCGATTCGGTCGATTACCGTGCAATCGAGGCCGAAAGCATGGGTCTCTTATTGCGGGCCCTGGGCTTGCAGATGTACGAGATCCAGCCCGATGGACACTGTCTATTCCGGTCCATTCAGGACCAGTTACATCATCGCCACGAATTCTCGGCCGATGCCGCGGATCTTTCTGTCTCGGCAATCCGCAGACGGGCAGCGGATCATATTCGAGCACACCCGGACTCGTACATTCCATATTTGTTTGATCAGGAGACAATGAGTGTCCAGGACGTGGGCGAGTATACTAAGGAACTAGAGGAAACGGCAATGTGGGGCTCCGACTTGGAGATTGCGGCCCTAGCCGCGGTCTACGAGTGTCCAATCAAAGTGCTAGTAGCCGGAAGTGCACCCATAGTATTTAACGAGGCGGGGCCCAAGCCAGAACTAATAGTGGCTTACTACAAGCACAGCTACGGTCTTGGAGAGCACTACAATTCGTGCCGGGATATCGAACGAGATGTACGGGTGTGAGCACGACGGGCTGCCTATCGCGTCTTACCCCGGCCCGATGCGCGCTGGCACTAACGGCCTGTATATAGATGCGATTTACGACGTGCCGCGGTCAGTGCGGCGCCAAAGAAGGTTTTCTGTCAAGTATTGGTCCAGTCGGTGACTATCACTGAGACTGGGATTTGCTCGGAGCCCAGGAATTCTATTTTGTCAATGTATTTGACATGGCATTTTTGACCTGTCTGTTTTATTTTCTTTGTAGACCGCAAGTCGCGAAGAGACCGTCACCCTGGGAAGCCATATACTGATTGGTCTACTGAAGCTGTGTGAAGAGCTACACATATTTTGCTGACCTCACCTTAGCCACTACTCTTCAATGTTGTCTTGATTTTGTTGTTTTGGGAGTCTGTCGAGTTTTGAATTTTGAAAGTTTGTTTCAGATTTACATTTTAAACTTTGTCGGCTAACGGTCGCATTTGTTGCCCCCACACAATTTGAGGCTCGATGAGCTGAGGCAAGCAACGGTATGGCTCGTGAAAAAAAAAAAAATACATACGCTGAAAGTCGTCTGAGCGGGGTCAAGGATTTCAATACCGTACATTTAAATTGCTCGAACCATGGAACGAGCTCTTAATGTTCCATAGTATGTATCTGGGGAATCCTCTGGAATGTCTAAAAAGAATTGGCTCTTCCAATCATTTCCCCCCACCCTGTTGCATTTACGAGCCCTAGGTTCACCAGTGCATTTATCCTGACCAAAAGTATGGACCAAACCAGGCTGAATTGATTGAAATAAAGTATGCCTGCCTTGAGCCGAGGGCCGTAGGGCTCGTCTTCAGTGTAAAAATATCTTCGCGTCCAAATGTCGTACGAAGTACCCCTATACTTGGGAAACTGGCAACTGCAAGAGAAAGTAGGTGCAGTAAGTGCGCCCGCGGAAACGCCACACATAGTATGTCGTAGTGGCAGACGCCAACAATGTAACGTGGGTCGAATAATGCGGCCGCTTCTTGATAAAACCCTATAATACACCAAGATTGGAGGCGCATGACTTTACACGAAGTTGGCTCGTGGGGTTAGTGCAAGAGGTCGAACCAAGTGTCGGCGGCTGAGCCTCCCGTGGATGCAGATGTCGGGTGCGACATTGTATGTGCAGTCCTGGTACAAGGCGCCAGGGTGTATGCACCAAGCGTATTGCCTTTCACAGGTTGCTGGATTCAGCTGTCTGGGTTACATGTGCAATGGAAAATTATAGCGGGCACCATTCTATTTTGAGGCGTGCTTAAAAGCTGTCGGTCCATACTGACCTCTATGTTGAGATTTCAATCAGGTTCACCAGGCTCTCCTTGTCTCGTTGGCCGTTTGTTATTTCCAAAGGCTGATTCTTTTACAGCACCTGTGAGCTTTCTCACGACAACGCGCGACATAGCACAATGCTAGATGCTGTCGCAACCTGCGCTAGGTAAGAAGGTCTCATTTAACAATAGCGACAAGACCAAAATATAGAGGAAGTCGAGGGTTTGGGGCTGAAAGAACAGACATACTGCCCTATTGTGAAGCCGTGTCGCTTGAAGCGCAACATACCTGGTGCTTTGAAGGCAATGTCATGGAATGCACAACCACAAATGCAGGAAACCCTTGCATGCTCACATGAAGACATGGGCTGACGGCTGCTGAAACATCCTCAATGTCTCCTCCGTCCCGTCCCAATCACAATAGAAATCATTTGTTACATATTAGCAGAGGCCGGGTGCTCAAACCCTAAACTCCGCTTCATACAATGTCTGCAAAATTGGCGTAGTCAACCCCAAGCGGCTGATTCTGGATTCTTCTTGTATCTTTTAGCAAGGCACTAGGAAATACGCTCGTTGGATTCCGAAGTGAATCGCCTGACGACATGGGCAATCTTCATGCATCACTCTGGCACGGGGTATCGGGACAACAGAGAGGGCGGGTGTGCAGGATGCAATTACAGGCCACGTCAGGATTTTTTTGCTTAGAGGCATCGGAAGGGCTCAATTCCGCAGCAAGTAGTGGGGGAGGTCCTCCCGCGATTTAGGGACGCCCATTGGTAGCCGCGGCGACACTGCGACATTGTGCGCATGTCCGAGATCACGTGCCGTGCCCTCGGTTCTGCCCTCGAGATGCATGGTATCACCTGCCTCACTTCGGCCGATGCGCCAATGAGTCCAAACGCCCGAAACTGCAATGAGACCGCACGCCCAAACTGTGGGGGCAGTTGGTGCATGGATTTGGCCTTCTTGGTTCAGATCCTTACGCTACATAATTTCAGGGAACGCTCGTTAATTTCCTTCAGTGCCGATGGCAGCCATCAAGGCAAAACCAGGAAAGCGTTTGTCCCAGCCAGCTACATACTCCATACATGCAAGCCTTCTGACCTCATCCATTTAAGCTCTCTCGGACCTTATTTCATTAAGCTCCTATGTGCGCGCTCCAGAAGGCACGTCTGTCGAACGGCTGGGTTTTATGGTCTAGAAAGAGAGCATTTTTTTTTGAACAATGGCATTGAAAAGTTCATTAATTATAACTCCTTTCACGCTTGGCCGTACACTGAATATTCTCATGCCCAATATCGTGCAAGTTTTTCCGGGTCAGATTGCTAGTTTTTCGCGGCTCATGAATCTCGGTCGTGCAAAAGCAGACGCGCCTTGGCTCCCGGCCCATAACTCCGTCGATCCCCACGTCACGTGACCCCAATAAATCCGGACCACAGCTCAATGTGCCAGAGTTGAAAACCCCAGCACGCGCCTGTGGCCCCAAAGCTACTTGCCTGAATGTAGGACGAAAAAGAGAAATCCCAAAACTCAATTTCGATTTCACGGGGTGATGGCGCCATATCGCCTAGAGTTACCCAGCCGTCGCAAGCGCCCCAATCTAGATGAGGAAAAAGACACGTGATCCAGTTGCAAAATGCAGCAGTTCCTATTAATTGGGGCCAAAAGGAAAAGGCGATAAACTCTATGTGCTGTGGTGGTGGCCAGCGCTTCTACTGTATTGAGGCTGCCAAGCTATTGGGCGGCTGCCAGATCATTCTGATGATTGATATTCCCGCGAAATGCCTCAGCTATCGTAGGACGTAGACGTTTGTTTCCATGATAGCTCGACAATGCACGAAAGCTCATCACGTGAATTCTTGTTGTGTTGTTGTCTTTGTATTTGTCTTGTGCTGTCAAATAAATCAGACATTCAGGGTGCACTTTTTCACTTGATGTTGCTATGTTTTGTTGAACCCATTGTGGAAATATGCTTCGGGAAACAAGGTTTTCCGTGTGCTTGGGGCAGCCCGGTCTATAGGATGCGGCACTGTCCAGCATGCTTTGTTTCGTTCGTTGTCTTAATGACTCCAACACATGTAAGTTATACAACACAATTCCAAATGGCTAGTACACTAGCGGTGTCGCCCTGCCCATCATGTCGAACTTAGTCACCAAAGTCCGAAAGCACTCGGTTTGCAAAGGGTGTCTTGGGCTGCGTGCAGAACTCCTGCCCTTGCCCTAATACTATATGAGCGGCATCACAATGTCATGGATATGCCAAGCACTGGTTTCATAAGTAAACACAGGAATAGCAAAGGGTTTTGAAGGACTAGTTTGTCACCTAACACGACGGCTTCTGAATTAGTGCTCAGTTTGGCTTTCGTCAACTTGTGTGCTGGCCGCCTGGCACGAGCGTTGCTATCAGACGTGCCCTTGCCAAGTCTCCAGCTGTGAGTCTGAGGAATTTTCGTTGGATCTCCAAGTTAAACTGGATGCCCCACGGCTAAAACCGGCTCCGTGGTCTTTGAATAACCGGGTGCTCTTGTTGCTTGGCTTCATGCCGGACAGATTGGTTACACGGACAAATCTTGGCATCTCTCCCCAGTATTCGGGTGCCATTTCTTCCCATGAGCCACTGACCTCTGAAATGAAGCTGATATTTTTTTACGCAAGTCCCGATAAAATTGTTTTGGCAATCTGTACCTTTCGCTTTTTTGTGTTGGGACTAATATGAGCGTGTACCATGCCCGATTCTCGGACTGGGATTCTTCGGGCAAGAAAGTATCTGATAGCACTCGGGAACAATGGGATTAGCAGAGATACTGGTCTTTCCTATCTTCTTCACTACGGCCATAACTAAAACAACACAATAGATGGTAAACAAAGACGCTTGTCGGTGATTGTAGGGACTGTGGACTTGGCTGGCGTATCTGCATGGCATTGTAAAGATTATATTCGAGAAAGTAGTTTAAACCACATGTAAGCTTTGCAGCATAGCCGCCATGAGAAATGTGGTCCTTGCTCGAATCGCCAACTTGAATTTGGCTTCTTTGAAATTGTTGCACGAGCTACTCGTAAGTCACGGAATGGCTACAATACCTTATTCTCTGATTCCGGCCAGCAATCTGCTGACGCTCACTTTGTGGAGCCCGCGGCCTGAGCAATCCGATCACAACTCAAATTGCAAGACCTGCGCTGATGTGATACGTGACGCTATGGAAAGAGACTGCGGTTACACAGCGAAAAGACAAGAGAGACCATCTATAGCTCCCACTTTCGGCCAGCAGAATTACTGAATCGCTTCGGGCCACTGGTCTCTAGAAGTCATAAAAGGGGACGTGCTTTGTCAATTTCCTATTCAAGTCGTTTTCTTAAAGGGGGACGTGCTTTGCAAATTTCCTACTCAAGTCGTTTTCTGCCCACAGCTTTGCGAATCCTAGTCCGGCGGCGACTGTTTCTTTTTGACAGCCAGCACTGACTTCTACAGGACTCACAGGAAGCTGGTTGTCAACTACTACAAATCCAGCGTTTACTTTGTAGGTGTTCAACATACGTATACATGTGCGACCTCTAATAAAGTACGATGAAGGCTATATAAAATACTTGCTGAATCGACAAAACACATAAAAGTTCTCTCGTGTATGTTTCTGATGGAAAAAACATTATTCCAAGAAAGTGGGAATCACATGACGATTGAAAGAGTGGCAACGGAAATCATAGCCGTTACTACAAGGACCGGGTGTCTAATAATGATTTTAACTTATTGCAATGAGAGTGAGTAATCCGTAGATTACGAATATCATCTAAACTACCATTTGATATTATACTGTATTGTTTCCACTAAAGTAATAGGAATAATATGATCTGTTTCAAGTCCTTTTGATCAATTATTGGTACGTTTATTGAGAACACTGCTGGTCTGGTTCTTAAGATTAGTAGGATAGAAATCAAGAAATCATTACAATTAGCAGAATTAGATTCACAACTGTCACAAATAAAATATCACGTATTAGGAGTTTAGATCTAATATCAAAACGAAGGGCAGCTAATTTTACAGTTCTCTGAATATATTCATGTGAGTGAGTATAAACACTACTAGCCATTTATTTTTTTGAAGAAGTAAAGAAGTTTCATGGAGAGAGTTAAGTTTCGTTAATGGTTTAAGTGTAAGTTGTTTAGACCTTTTAAGTGATGACGAATCTGATACTTGAAGCCGACTGCAAATTGTGTTGCCGCACATGTCGAAATCAAGCAAAGGCAATATTCAAGAACATCAGCCCCGGTAGTCTGGAAGCACCTATGACATGGCACGAGCCGCCATCCAGCGCAGCCCACAGAATATGGCCGATTGGACTAATCTAACATCGTAAATTGGACAGAGCAGGATGCAGGCAGATAGCGGCGAAAAGGGTCCGTCATAGGCCCACTTTTGCGTCGGCCCACACCAGAAGTACCAAAACAATAACCAGACCCACAGCCCCCAATCGGCAAGAACCCCGAATAAACAACCCGATTCCAGGCCGCTTGTAGCGTAGTACCCATGGCGCCGTGAGCCGGCGGCCGGTTTCGGGCGGTGTACGGGTGTCGGGCCGCTGCGCATCATCAAGCGAAAACTCGATCCACCAAACGTGCCGCTAAGCATTTCTGTGTGTCTGCCAACTTCTGTACTTTCGGCACGCTGGACCTCGGTACTCTCCTGGGCCATTCCTGTCTGTTCCCACGCCCCCCTCGTCTGATTTCTGCCGGTGTTTCTAGTGCCGTTGCTTGTGGGGACCCGTTTTTGCCACCACCAAACAAGACTTAACCATGGGCTGGTTCTGGGCCTCGCCTGCTGCCAGCACAAACGCCGTGGCCGGCCGGCCGCCGGCCGTGTGTCCCGTGGACCACAAAAACATGCCCGGCGCCGCGTGCCCCGTCCAAAAACCGGGCCGTGAGGCCGACGACATCGAGGTGTTGAACCCTCTCAATAACATGCCCATGGCCATTTCCTCGGAGCGGGCCCCCGGCCAGAAGGTCGTGCTCTCCACGGAAAGAACCATCTCGCTGATCCCCAGAGGCGTGCTGGAGGACCAAGGCAACTGGGAGTACCCTTCGCCGCAGCAAATGCTCAACGCCATGTTGAAGAAAGGCAAGGGCCAAGGCATCGACGAAACCGCCGTGGAATCCATGGTGGACGTGCACAATTTCTTGAACGAGGGCGCGTGGCTGCAGATCTTGGACTGGGAGCTCAAGCACACGCTCCAGAGCAAGGTCGAGCCCCGCTTGGAGAAGTTCATGGGCAGACCGCACGACTTGTCTCCCCGGGCCCGCATGTACCTCTACCTCGGCCGGCTTTTCCCGGAAACCTTCAACACGCAGCCGCCTTTCGACCGCCACGACTGGACGGTCTTGCGGTCCGCGGGCCATGGCCGTGGCTGGCTGAAGGTGCGATATGTGATCGATTACTACGGCGCGCCGGATGACGAGGAGACCGGCATGCCTGCGTTCATGTTGGACACGAGGCCTGCGCTCGACTCGCCCACCGCGGCGGCGGACCGGTTGGACCGCTGGTTCACGCCGTTGTGGAAACGGGCCATGGGCGAGTTTGACGACAAGTAGCCGTGCCGGGCGTATTCAGAGGGACCGGGCCCAGGCCGCCACATTTTATTTATCTCTTGCACATACATGAAGGGGGGGGGGGGGGGGTTTTTCTGAAGGGGGGGGCCTTTCTCTGAAAGTGAGCCTTTCTCTGGATGGAAGCCTTTCTCTGGGTGGGAGCCTTTCTCTCAGACGACGCCTCTCCCTTCCACAACCTCAGGGACGCGGGCCCGTTGGGGATCTTATATACAACAATTGTTTATTACGTTCATGTTTCTTTATGTACAGGGCCCAGCAGCGCCGGGCTAGGCGGCGCCAGCGAGCGAGGCCATCAATTCCGGAGACACCTTGTATTCGCGGGCCAAGTTCCTGATGATCTGGGGCAAGTTCCTGCCAAAGCTAGTCAAGTCGGCCGCCGCGAGTTCGTCAAGCACCCACTGGATCCGCGTGCGGTCGCGCTTCTTCATGAAGTGGTCGATGAGGAAGAAGTAGGTGTAGAAGTTGGGGGCCACGCCGAACGGACGCTGGGCGCAGAGGTCCGAGTAGTACTTCAAGGCCAAGGACTCCCTCTTGGTGAGCAAGCCCCGGATCATCATGTTGTACAACATGGTGTCGTTGCGCAAGTTCTTGACGTACCAGGCAAACAAGTCCTCGGCGTTGTGCACGGAGCCAAACTCCATCTCCGCCTTGATCATCGAGGTGAGCATGCCCGCGGAATGCTTGAACCGGGCGCGGGTCTCGCAGAAGTACTTGAACACGCCGCGCGCGGCCTCCATGTTGACGCCGTCGCGCACGAGCCCGTCGATGAGCGTGGCCACCATGTGCTGGTCCCACTTGGACGTGTCCTTGATCACGTCGCCAATGAGCTCGCGCACGTTGGGCACCATGCCCTTGTCGCGGTAGGTCTTGAAGTAGTAGTTGAGCACGGTGGTGATGGTGGCGATGTTCTCCTCGATGCCCTTCTGCGCCATGAAGTCGAGGATGCCGGCCACGGCCGAGTCGTTGCCGGTGGCGACGTAGTGCGCCAAGAAGGTGTTCATGACCGACGTCGAGGGCACGAACGACGGGTCCTCCTCCAAGTAGGCGCGCATGCGGGTCTCGGCCTCCGCGAGCTGCTTGTTGACGGCCATGCCCACGAGGATGTTGTTGCGCGCCATGTGCACGATGGGCACGTCCTTGTGCTCGGCCATGTACTTGGCCACCAAGTCCTGCCGGTCCAACGTGGCCAAGCCGCCCAAGAGCACGCCCAAGACCTTGGCGTTGACGCGCACGCCCGAGGCCACCATGGCGCGGAACGTGGCCTCGATCTTGTCGAGCACGGCGGTCTTCTCGGGCGGCAACATGCGCGCCACGTGCGACGGGTGGCCGAGCGCCTTGAGCGCCAACTCCCACGACGCGGGGGACGGCTTGGGCACGAGCCCGCCGCAGATAGCCGCGAAGATGGCGAGCGCGTCGTCGAACAGCTTCATGGCAATGAACGCACTCATCACGTGGTTCAACGTCTGCTCGGAGATGGCGATGGCGTTGCGCGTGGACGACGCCTTCATCTCGCCGTAGAGCTTGCGCAAGCCCACGGGGCTGGCGAGCCGCAGGAGCACGTCGATCTGCCGCGACACGGCCGCGCCGTTGGGGTCCATGTTGTTGGCGTCCTGCTCGCTGACCTTCTTGGCAAACGCGCGGATCTCGTCGCCCAACGCGTCGCGCAAGCCCAAGCGCGCCAACGTGGACGTGACGAAGTACAGCGGCGGGATCTCCTGCGCGTCCGCCACCTGCAAGATCTTGACCGTGGTGGCGAGGTCGTACTCCTCGCCCGTGCGGAGACAGTGCGAGATCAACGCGAAGTACGCCAAGCGCAAGAGGTCCGTCAGCCGGTAGTCGCGGTCGCGGTACACGCCGTAGTTGCCCCGCACCAGCCGCCCGGCCGCCGTGGCGGCCATGCGCTTGGCGTAGTCCAAGAACATGATCCACAACTGCAACACGCGGGGGTAGGCGTCCGGGTCCGCGGTGTTCTGCAACACGCGTTTCTGCACCGCCACGAAGTGGTACGTGTGCGCCACGCGCTGCTCCACCATCATGTCCAACACGGTCTCCACGGACCGGCTGCCCAAGCTGGCGTTTTCCGCCACCACCAAGTCGAAGAGCCGGGCCAGCACGGGCTGGAAGATCGAGTAGAACGCGTCGTCCGCGATGCCCTCGGCCTGCTGGATCTCGCGCAAGTACGCCGCACCCTCCTCGAAGATGTCGATGGCCTCCGCGAGCGCGGGGCTGCTGGCGTCGGGCACGCCGGCCACCAGCTTCTCCACCTGCTTGACGATGTCGAAGAGCTTGCGGTGGTACTGGTACTTTTTGGGCGCGGCCGCCTGTGCGGGCGTGCCTGCGGCGGGGTTGGCGGCGGCGGCCAGGTTTGTGTTTTGGGCCGCTTTTGTGTCTTGGGCCGTCTTTGTGTGTTGGGCCGAGCTTTTTGTGTTTGGGGCCGTGGTTTCGGGCGCCGGCCCGGTGGTCTGGAATCGCACAAACGCCGCCGGGGGCAGCGCCCGGGCGGCTCCGGCGGCACGGCGAGCAAAGGACCTCACAAGCATGTCTTGGCGTTGGGTGTATCCAGTTGGGGTGGGGAAGACGGGCCGGGGTAGCGTGGCTGGGAACGGCCGGGAATGGGTGTTCTAGTAGAACCGGGTTTTGGGGCCGGGCAGTGGGGCCAGGTCGCGCCGGAAAATTTTCGCGCTGTTTCGCGGCGCAGTCTGGGGAAGGCCATGGGGCCGGGGCCACGGTGAGTTTTGGGGGTCTTTGTTTTTGGCCGGGGGCTTTTGTTTTTTGTTGGGGATTTTTTTTTTGGGTGGGGGCGTTTGCTTTTGGGTGGGGAGCTTTGTTTTTTCGGCGGGGTTTTGGTTTTTTCGGGGGGATTTTGGTTCTGGTTGGGGGCTTCTGTTTATTGTCTGGTACTCCGGAGGGCCACTGCAAATCTCACGGGCCGCCGATGTTCTCGTGCGCCAGATCTGGACAGGCCGGTGGGGGAGCAGTGCGAAGGCTGGACGATGGAACTGGTGGCCACCATTGGCGGACGGTTGGGTAGATTGGGTAGTTGAGCAAGAGTTGCGGGATGTTTGGGTATGGATCGATGAAGGAATTGACAAGCTGATATTTGGTATTTGGCCGGATGGAAAATGGGTAATAAAATGCACAAATTGAATTAGAGAAAAGTATTAAAGACCAATAAATGATTAGACAACTAAACAAATGGTCAAGGGATACTCGGAAATTTGACAAAATGATGGCTAGTTGAATGGGGAAATGATTAATAAAAATGCACAAATCGAATTATGGGCAAATAGACCCAGAAATGATTAGACAGTTGGACAAATAGTCAAGGGATACTCGGAA